AGATGGCTGCCAGGAGGTGGTGGGAGGTGCCCGCTGCCCTCTTTCCCACACTTCTCCAGCAACGGAGTTCCTGCCGCGGTGGGGGTGGCGGGGTGAAGACGCCTTGGGTTTCCAGATTCTGGGGCTCAGTGATGGCTGCACAGCCTCTGTCCCACCTCCTGCCGCCCACCACCCTCTGCCCAGCCCTGGGCTTCGCTCCTTCCTCGGTATCTCCCACAGAAGGCAAGACGCCAGGGCCTCCCCTCTCGGCCTCTGCCTGCTCATACCTGGGGCTGGTGAGAGGGCGCCTCCAGTCCAGGGGACTGGAGAGAAGGCACCAGGTGGCCCCCCCTGCCCGGGGACTCTCCACGAGCTGGACAGGTCTCCGTGCAAATGCCAGAGCACACCAGTGTGTGCCGGGCGTGTGCTAAGCACTTTAGAGCCCTATGAGCTGGTACACTCACCTGCCCATTTACAGATGAGAGGCTGGGGGTCCGGGCATGAACACTCAGGCCTCCTCATGGTCAAGGCTCGGGGCTGGTGCTTTGAACAAGCAAGATGCCTGCATGCGTGCCCGCACACACACACATGTGCGCACGCGTGCTGTCATGACGCACGCTCTCCCTTCCCAAGGCACCAGTTGTGTGTCTGCACACGTCCTTTCACACGTGTGCTCGCTCAGCCACTACCGGGCTGACACGTGGTCACATATTCACCCAGAAGCCGGGGAGGCTCCCAAGACACGCGTGTGCAGGACAGCACACCCAGGCCCAGGACCCTCACCTGGTGTGCCCTACTGGCAGACGCCACCTGCCACCCCGTGTCCCCAGGCCTGGAAAGCACACTTCCTCAGGGACGCTCCAAGCCCGCTCCTGGCAGGGCGAGGGAGAGGGGAAGGAGGCCTGACCCTGTGCAAGGATTTCCCGGCCCCAAGGGGCTGTGGAGGAAACTGCTCTTGAAATCCTGGAGCACTGCCATCATCTGCTTCCAGTCCAGCCCTTCCACACCTGGCGCTGCCCACCTGCCAGTTCCCGAGCCACCTGGGGCCTCAGGCCAGGTGGGACTGCCTCGCCCTTGAACTTCAACTCCCAGTAACTAGAAGGTCAAAGGGCACCCTCCTGGGCAGCACACCCTATGATAGGGTTGGGCGGTGGAGGTCAGGGGCCTGGAACACGGGCCTCAGGGAGGAAGGCCATCTCACTGTCTGGCCTGGACGACTGTCTCAACTTCTCGGGGCCCCCGTTTCCCCACCTGGAAATACGGGTGGATTCAACTTGGGACCCTGCCTCCAGCTCCTTGAGGGCAGTCATGGCTTGTCCACACAGCCGACAGGCCACCTGGCCACCTGCCTTCCTGGAGGGGAAAAGACATCTCCTGCCACCTGCGGGTTTCCCAGGTAGCACTAGTGGTAAAGAACCCACCTGCCAATGCAGGAGACAGAAGAGATGCGGGTTCGATCCCTGGATTGGGAAGATCTCCTGGAGGAGGAAATGGCAACCACTCCAGTATTCTCGCCTGGAGAATCTCATGGACAGAGGAGTTGGCAGGCTATAGTCCCCAAGTTCGCAGAGTCGAACACGACGGAAGTGACTGAACATGCACATGCACACGCACACTTGCAAAGGGCTTGCTTGTGCCTGGGCCAGGGGCTTTCACACAACCTGACCTCCAGCAGTCCACAGGTGGGACCACCGAGACACTTCAGAGTGGAGGGACCCACCTGTCTGGATGCTGCAAACCCTAGCCAGGCTCTCTGGTTCTTGGCTCCTCCTGGAGGATGCAGCAAGGCAGGAGAGAAGCATGAGGGATGGTAAAACAGAAGGGCAAGGCCCCGTCAGCCAACCTGTCCCTAAAATGCTTTCCAGAGAACGCAGCTGGGAGTGGAGATGGGAGGCAGGGCCGGTCAGGGGAGTTGGAGCAGCGGGTCAACCAGGTTTTCTGGGAAACAGGCGCCTGGAGGTTCCCAGAAGCCCGCCTGCCTGGGGACATCGCTCGGGGAAGGCGGCCTTCCAGGGCCTGAGTTTCCCCAACCCAGACTTCTCTCTCCCTTCTGACCTCTAGACAGCCTCACCTCCCAATGCCCCGGGGGGAGGGGGGGCCAGGGCCTCCCTGATAGATGGCGAGGGGGATGGTCGGGGCTGGGCTCCCCCGGCCTTTGCCACAGCCCAGACAGATGGGAGTGGACCCGGGCGAGAATCTCCCTGGAATGGAGTCAGGCACTGGNGCCCGGCCGCGCCCCCGCACCCCGCTCCGGGCACAGCCGCCGGCGCCCCGGGCCCGGGCCATTGTCTGCGCCGCCCTCGCCCCGCCCCCTCCTCCCGCGGCGCTCCACGGGGCCGGGGGTGGGGCTGGGCCGTCAAGGCCAGGATCGTCAGGACCCCCCACCCCGCGTAGGGCCCGCGCGCCCAGCACATTATCGGGTACCACCCTAGCCTCCCCCAACTCCGGAGGTGGGCACGCCCCCTCCGCCTTTGACAGATGCGGCCAGGGGGGCACAGAGGGTGATGGCTTGAGGTCCTTAGTGCAGGGACCCCATCAGACTAGGATGCTGGCTCCATGAGGGCACCCAGAAACCCCTGTGTGTATGGGGGAGGGGGGCGGTCACCAACAGTCCCATCCCTCACTGCCCTCCCCAGAGAGAACGTCTCAGGGGCTCACACCCTGCCCAGCTCCCAAATCCAACCCCTGGGGGGCCTGGCCCCAACCAGGCTCCCTCCACTCCAACACGCCCATCTGTCCTGGGGTCAGGGGCTCCATCCTGGCCAGACACGGGCCTCATCCATGGGCTTGGCTCCGCTGGACACAGGATCAGCGCCCACAAAGTAAAGTGGGCCATGACAGGCCCACAGGGCGGGACTGTCTTCCCTCCCCACGGCACCCCCGTGTCTTCACACTGGGGAGCAGCGAGGCTCCCGGGGTCAGCGCCAGTTCCAGGACACTCGAGGCTAAGCCCTGAGCTGGGTAGAGACACAGGTGTCCGTCTCCGAAGCCAGTGGGCTTCCCCACGAGGCCACCTGCCTCCCCTTGAGAATGGAGATGGATGCAGGTGGGCAGAGGAAGAAAAAAACGGTGGCTGGCCTGGTCCTGGCCCCTCACCCTCCCACCCCAGGACCCCATATGTGGCATAACTGACTCACTGAATGGTAGAGGGGGCTACAGATGGGGAAACTGAGGCTAGCAAGAAGAGGCATGCTAGGGTCACACAGCCAGTCTCAAAACTGGCCCAGGACCGAAATCCCCTATTCCAGGGGCTCCACCTACTGCCCCCTCCATCCATACCCTGCCTGGCCACCCTGCTCCAGGCCTAGATTGCTCATGGCTTCAGGTTGTAGGGGGTACGAAGCAGAAGGCACTGTGCTCTCCCCAACTCTGGCTGGTACCTGGCTCCGCCCACTGTGCCCTCTGGCCCTGCATTTTATGACATTCTGCTTCCATCAGCTGTCACTCAGGTCTCCAGGAAATGGACGTTGCTAGGGGCCAGGCCTGATGCCAGGTGGCTGGCTGGCAGGCTGGGGTGATGGGGAGCGGGGGAGCAGGCTAGGGTTTCCCTTGGGAAGGCTCAGAGGGTGAAGCTGCTGGGTGGAAGTAGAGGGTGGTGTGGGTCACCCACAAAGAGTAGCTAAGGCGTACACACAGGCCATGGGAAAGCCCCAGCCCGGAGCTTCCTGCAGGCAAGTATTTTGGGGACCTGCGGTTGCCAAGCGACTGCTCCAGGTTGCCATGGGAACTCTCCTTTCTCCTGGGGCTTATCATTTTTAGGGAGATGCCCTCTTGTCTCCACCTCCCTCTCCTTGACTTGCTGCCCTGGGAGGATACATCAAGGTCCGCAAACCTCATTCCCCCACCCCCCGGGGAGACCTCCCAGCCGTGACCCTAAGAGAAGACTCTTTGAGGTTCAAAAACCCAGAACCCTGAGAAAATGCAGAGAACAGAGTCCAAGGCCTTCATTAGAGTGGGGAGAAGGTGAAAGGGGTTCATTAGTCTGTTTACGTCTCCTCTCCGGCTGTTAACCACCACCTTGGGGCCGGCCCTGCCCTGACCGTTGGGAGCCCACTGTAATTGGAAGGAATTTGGCCCCAGCACCCACGCCCAGCCCCTCCCAGGCTTGTCTGAACGCAGAGACGTGCCCCCACCAGCCCTGCTGCTGCCTGGCTGTGGGAGCCCCCTTGGCCTTCCAGGGTCTCAGTTTCCCCAACCATCAATGATGATGGCAGAGGAGCCATCCTGCAGATAGAACGAGACACTGTGGCCAAAGCATGGGCACAGGAAAAGTGCCGTGGGCTGGCTGTCGTTAGCAGGCACCTGCTCTGCGAGGGATGGAGGTGCGGGGTGGCCTGAGGGGTCACTCCATGGACGGTGGCCCCGTGGATAGCGTGCCCCTGATGGCAGAGTGGCCAGCAGAGCCAGGCCCCCAGGCTCCCGGCCCAGCGCCTTCCCCGTGGATTTATCACTTGTCCTGTACCCTGTCCCTGCGTTCTTCCTCTACGGGGTCTTATCCCCTCGGATGGGAGCCAAGGTGCTCCGCGCAGGCCAGGCGCTCAGCTCTGAGTCCGTGGATAAACATCTGCTGCCTGAACCAGTCCGTGACCCACCGCCAAGGGCTGTTGGCCCCGGCCTCGTGAGATTCAGAAGCGCCCCAGAGCCTCAGTAAGGGATGGCTTCCGTTTCCCAGGCCGGGGCCACGCCGGGCGCTTTGCTGCATCTCACCAATGCCCGGTGACACCCACTCTCCCTCGGGGAGCCCAGGGCCCCTGCTTCTCAGCTCCAGAGGGCACGCCCAGCTTTGTACAACAGGGCAGAATCCACCCCTCCCTCCCCAGGTGGGCAGTGGGAAAATCGACACTGCATCGCCTCCTCTTTGGGCAGGGTCTCTGGGGAAGGGACTTCTCCAGCCGCCACCTGCATGTCCACCCATCCCCGTGGCTGCCCTCGGGGTCCCTCCCCCCGCTGCCCCTCAACATCTGGGACACACGGTCCCTGGCCCTGCAGTAATGTGAGAACTGTCTGGAAACCGCCAGGGTAATCATAGCCGCGGGGGCCCCTGCAAGCAGCTGAGAACGGGCTTGGCTTGCAGGTGTAGCAGGAAAGACGCAGAACCAACCACCCACGTGGGTCTGAGCCGGGCCGGGCTCACTGGCTGCCCATCCGGGTCGCCACCCAGTCACTCCCCTGCGGCTCCGCCTTGTTTGGTCTCCTCCACTGTGCATCACCCCTGAAATGACTGCGGGCCTGGTCTGTTTACAATTGTGAGCGTGTCGTCTCCTCGCAACTGGAAGGTGAGACCTTTGTTTCTGTGGTGTGGCTGCTGAGGGCGGCCACAAGCAGGGCACAGTGCCACCTGCTGGTGCTGTGCCAGGACACCCCCAAGCCGAGCTGGGCTGTCCCCGACTGGGCACCCCCAGACCCCACTCACGCCCCACAGCGCTGTGCCGGGGGCCACATCCTAGAGATCTGATCAGACCCGAACACTCCCCCCATCCCTGTGGACACGTGGGAACCTGGCCTTCGGGGGTACGATCACTCCAACGCCCTTGTCCTGAATTGAACTGTGTTCCCACAACATATCAGTTGGAGTCCTAACCTCATGCACCTGTGAATAAGACCTGATGTGGAAATAGGATTTTTTAGTAGCACTTCTTAAAAAAAATTTTTTTTAATTGGAGTATAGTTGATTTACAATGTGTTAGTTTCTACTGGACAGCAAAGTGACTGTTTACATTGATGTGCATACACATGTGCAGGCTTCTCCGGTGGTTTACATTGATGCGTATACACATGTGCAGGCTTCTCCGGTGGCTCAGTGGTAAAGGATCCGCCTGCAGTGCAGGAGACTGAGGTTTGGTCCCTGGGTCAGGAAGGTCCCCTGGGGGAGGGCATGGCAACCCACTCCCATATTCTTGCCTAGAGAACCCCATGGACAGAGGAGCCTGGCATATACAGTCCATGGAGTCACAAAGTGTCAGACACGACTGAAGGGACTTGGCCCACATATTCATATATTCACTCCTTTTTAGATTCTTTTCCTGTCTAGGCCATTACAGGGGCATCCCTGGTAGCTCAGAGGTTAAAGCGTCTGCCTGCAATGCGGGAGACCTGGCTTCGATCCCTGGGTCGGGAAGATGCCCTGGAGAAGGAAATGGCAACCCACTCCAGTGTTCTTGCCTGGAGAATCCCATGGACGGGAGGAGCCCAGTGGGCTACAGTTCATGGGGTCACAAAGAGCCGGACACGACTGAGGGACTTCACTCTCACTTTCAGGCCATGACAGAGGACTGAGGAGAGGTCCCTGCACCATCCAGTGGGTTCTTATTAATTACCTGTCTTGTCCACAGTAGGGGCTTCCCTTGTAAAGTCAGTAAAGAACCGCCTGCAGTGCAGGAGACCCGGGTTCCATCCAGTAGTGTGTATGTCAATCCTAGCCTCCCAATTTATTCCTCCCCGCCCCCCCCCCACCTCCACCCTTGGAGGAGTTTTCTCCTCCAAGTTTGCTTTCTACATTGGTGAGTCTATTTCTGTTTTGTAAATAAGTTTGTTTGTACCATTTTTTTTTTTTTAGATTTCACATATAAGTGATATATGATATTTGTATTTCTCTGGAAATAGGGCCTTTGCAGATGTGATCAAGATAAGATGAGGTCATTTGGGAGTAGGCTGAGCCCTGATCAAATGACTAGTGTCCTTATAAGAAGATGGAAGACTGGACACAGACACGTCGAGGAGGCCAAGTGAGGACGGAAGCAGACTTTGGAGGCGTGCGCTTACGAGGAATGATAAGGATTGCCGACAGCCACCAGAGGCTGGCAGAGGCGAGGAAGGATCCCCTTCTAGAGGCTTCAGAGGGCCTGGTGCTGCCGACACCTTGATTTTGGCCTTCTGGCCTCCCGAACCAGGAGACTATAAATCTCTGTTGCTTTGAGCCCCACGGTTTACGGTACTTTGTTACAGCAGCCACAGGAAGCTAATACACCTGGCTCCTGGGCCAAGCCATCTCTCTGCTACCCCGGCCAAGTGCAGCCAGGGCGCTCGACAGATGCCAGACCCAGGCATCACCCTCACATTCAGCATCACATTCCCCTCCTCAAATCATCCCCGAACACAGGGCATCTCTTTCCAGAATGAATACCTCTCTGCACATCCACTGCCTCAGTCAATCCCACCAATAACCAATGAATGGTTTCAGAGACGGACCCACCCTGACTGAGACCCCAGCCCAGCCCCCTTGTCCCAGACACTGTGAGACGATCGATGTGCGTCCCTGTAAGTGCCCAGGGAGGGGGATTCTGTCACGCGGCACAGACCCCAGGACATCTTCCAGGTCTCGCCCTGCCCTCCTCTCGTCCCTCCGCCCACAGCTCTTACGGCCACCCTGGCCCCTGTCTCACTTCCTCTCCAGCCAGCATCTTTTCTGTCTCCAAGTCTCTGCACCTTTGACCTTCTTCCAGACTCCTCGCAGAGTGTGCAAAGCTGGCGCCTGTTGTCCTTCTGGTCACAGCATCAGTGTCACCATGGAGGCCTTTTAGACCACCCCCCAGGGGTTCTTGACCCTCCTTCTGGGACCCTGACTCATTTCCCAGGAGCACGTGCTGTTCTCTCGCCCATGGATTTGCTTTCCTGCTTTCTGTCCATCTGCCCTCTGAGCCGTAAGCTCCTGGGTGAATGCCCGGGGCACAGTAACTGAATCGACAGAGGATCTCAGAGCCCCCTCCTGCCTCCGGGCCGCTCAGATTGCAGACATGGAGGCTAGTAATAAAAGCTGCCTGTTGGGTGGGAGGCAACCGGACTCCCCGGGGTCCCTTCCCTGCGCCAGTCGCCACCACTGAGCACTGTGGCCTCAGCCCGCCCCCTCGTGATCAGCCCCAGCACTGCAGCCCCAGACAGGGAAAAGCCAGAAAACAAAACACACACCTTTGTTTGGGTGCAGTCAAGGCAGTGTCTCTCTCTCCCTCCCCGGGGCAACGGAGCCGGACCGGCTGGCTCCAGGGGCGTTGTGCAGGACCTCGGAAGCTTTCCTCGTCCCCCCTGTTTCCCTCCACTGTTCTGGTGCCCAGGTCCCTCCGGAGGCCTCCTCGTCCCAACCGGGGGTAACTAACTCCACCCCCTTCCAAATGAGGGACCCCAGGTGCCAACAGAGATGGCACTTTGCCCCTGGACAAGTCTTTGCCTCCTTCTGCACCACCCAGGTGCCCAGCCCTCCAGGCTGCCACGTGTTCACGTGTTCAGAAGGACCTGGAGGGAGCAGAAAGTATTTTCCAAGGACTCGGAGCACAGTGGGTCATGGATGGAGAACCAAAGCCAACAGACTCTTCCACGAGCTGTAGAACCCTCGAGATCACCCCAGCCATGGGGTGACTTAGCCACTCCTAAATTACAGTGGAGTCAACTGAGGACTTCTCTCCTGTAGTTTCCTCTTCACTAGGGGTGAATCTCATGGTAGTTCCAGGCGCCCAGGGTAGTGGATGCAGGACCCCAGAAACTGTCCTCTCCAGGCCGCTCTGGAGATGGTCCCTGCCCAGGTCGACCCCCGGGAACCTGCCCACCAGCCTGGCATCTCTGTCCCTCATCCTGGGGCCCTGAGCCTGTTGCCAGGAGACCGGATGGTCCTGACCCATGCGGAGCTGCCTCCTACAGCTTTCTTCTTTCCCCCTTGTCATCTCCGTGTCCACTGCTCCCCTGACTGTACACCATGGTCTCCACCTGTGAGGTCAGTGTGTGCGCCTGTGGGCACGTTGGGAGGCCGAGAGGAAAGGGCTCCTCATGGGAGGGGGAGGGGATGGACAAGGGTCCCCCCAGGACGTCAGGGGCTCTCCTTCCCCAGGGAAACCCCATGGGAGTGGCTGAGCCCTGAACTAGGAGGCTGAAATCTTTCCTCCTCTTCTGGAGTCTGCCCACCCCCGCCCCGCCCCCCGCCGTGGGCCTCGGGCCAGGCCCTGTACCTCTCCTGGCCTCAGTTTCCCAATCGTACCAGGAGGGGCTGGACACGGAACTGCGTAAGCGCGCGCTCTGCGTGGACTCTCCCCCCACCGCTGGGTCGGGGGTGGGCGGGGTAGTCGGGCGGGGTGGGGGCAGGCGGTCCTCCCTCCACCCCGACGACTGGAGGGCGATCGCGGCCGGGCGGGGCACTCACCTGGCAATCTACCATCATTCTCAGCCCCGGCAGCACATCGCCGGCCCCAGGGCGGGGCCCCGGGCTAGCAGAGGCCGCTCGCCTCGGCCCGCGCGCGGCGCAGGGGGGCGCCCGGCTGCGGGGCTCATGGCGCGGCCTCCCGTCCCCGCCGGGCCCAGGGCTCCGCCGGCGCCGGCGCTCGCGCCGCTCCCATTGTCTGCGCC